TGGGCCTAGGGACGGGGAGTGGGGAAGGAGTTACTCCATATGGAGAAGGGGCATGGAAAGAGTACTTCTTGATGGGGAGTAGAGTTGAGACAAGTGGGGGGCTGCAGGTCATTGAACCGAAGTCCAGAGAAGACTGATGAGTCCAATGAATGGTCTTCCTCCTCTTGCAAAAGCCAGTTGCCTGGGCTAGCCTCCCTAGCACCCCCTCCTCTCTACCCACCTGCCACCCCCAGCAGCCCTCACCTGTCGGCAGGGTAGCCCAAGAACAGGTAGCCAGAGGCAAAGCCCAAGATGAACAGGATCTGCTCCAGGATCACCTGCCAGCCCAGGTCACACACCAGATCCCACTGGGGGTGGGAGAGGGACGGAGCAGGAATGAGGCCCCAGGCTGGTCATTCTTAGCCTGCCCTCAGACCCATGGCCCACCAGGCTGCCTCACCTGGCCAATGGCGTTGGTGGTGAGTACGGGCAGGCCATTGTAGTCCCAGTCCTTGAGGCAGTGGTTGAAGTCCGGCGGGGCGAAGCCGCTACACGAAGGGTCCGTACTGGTGGCGACGCGGCTGGCCGCGCTGGCTGCTAGGGCCGCGCTGGCGACGCTGACGCCGCTGGCGTTGGGGGGCTGTTCCCAGCCGGAGGCGTTCGGGGGGAAGCCCCCGTAGTGGCAATGCAGTGGGGGCGCCAGAGTGAAGATGGGGTCCGAGGCCATGCCCAGAGCCACGAAGAGCACCGGCAGGCAGCAAAGGCCGAGTTGCAGCTGTTGGCCACCACCCAGCGCCCCCACCTGGGCGAGCAGCGCCTCAAAGCTGAGGGGGCCGGGGGGCACGGCCAGCGACAGGCTGCTGCCCATCCCGTCGCCGCCCGCGTCGCCCTCCCCCTCCCGCTCGCGTTCGCGCGCCCGCTCACCCTGCAGCTGCTCGGCGGGCACCGCTTCTCCGAGGGTCCCGACCTGCTGTGGGAAGTTGGGGGTGGGGCAGGAGAAGGGTGAAGCGGGGGAAACCGCAGAGCCAGGGAAGAGGGCGGGAGCCAGCGCGAGGAAGGCAGTCAGGGGCCGGGGGATGCGCCGGAGTAAAACGCCCGGAGCCGGGCGGGGGCAGGGGCGCGCGGGGACGACAGCGGAGCCCCCAGGGCGCCGGCACTTACTCCGTTGGGGCTGGGGGTGATCTCTACAGTGCTGTCGATTTTGCTGCCTCCCCCGCCATTGGGCTCGGGGGTCCCGGTGGCCACCCGGGGAGCCAGCTTGCCGACCGCAGGGGCCCTGCCGGCCCGCACCGAAAGGATGCGCTGTCCCCGCTCAGCGGCGCGCGGGTGCCGGGACGAGAGCCCGGAGAGACCCCGCTCTGCAGCGCTGCAGCCGCGGGCGTCTCCTTCGTCTCTGCGATCTCTGCGCTGCTTTCCCCTCCCCTTCCTCCAGACTCTCCTCCCCTTCCCACGTCAGCAGAACCTTCGGTCCAGACTCTTCGTCAGAGAGAGGAAGGGGGGCCAGGACTCAGGGGAGGGAGGGGACGGGGCTCAGCCTCTCTTCCCTGGGTCTGCGGGCCATTGCGGTAAAAAAGAAAAGGAGCTGAAGGGTAGTAGCTGGCTCAGTCGGATGCCAGAGCGTTCTTTGCGTCCAATTCTTCATCATTCGTTCTTCCACTTCCCACCCACCCACCTATCCATCCTCCATATACCTACTTCTCACCTACCTACCCATCCATCCATCCATCCATCCATCCATCCATCCATCCATCCATCCATCCATCCATCCATCCATCCATCCATCCATCCATCCA